TAGCAGCAGCGGTAACAGTATGAGTAGTAGTCGTAGTAGTCGTAGTAGCAGTAGTAGTAGTAGTAGTAGTAGTAGTAGTAGTAGTAGTAGTAGTAGTAGTAGTAGTAGTAGTGGTAGTGCTAGTGGTAGTGGTAGTGGTGGTAGTAGTAGTAGTAGTACTAGTGGCAGGACTAATCGTAGTAGTAGTAGTAGTAGTAGCAGCAGTAGTAGTAGTAGTAGTAGTAGTAGGTGTAGGTCGTAGTAGTAGCAGTAGCAGTCAGTAGCAATTGCGGTCGTAGCAGCAGTAACTTAGTCGTAGTAAGTTGAGGCCAGCAGCAGCAGCTGCAGTGGTTGTGGCATTGCTGCTACTCTTGTTGTTGCGCTTTTGCCGCTGCTAAAGTGTTCCTGCTACCAGCACTATGTTTGTAAAATCATTCAAACTCAGATCCGGGGGCCGAAGGAAGACGTTGAGTATGCCCTGCGCCGCTTCGTAGTTCCCCCTCTGCGTCAGGTAGATCGCTGCAACTGCCTAAGAGAGGGTATACAATCCGGTGGCTTCAAGCTTGTAGCTGGGATGATGTTGGCACGGATCCAATAGTGTCTTCGCACAGAACACGTCGACAAAAGCCATAGGTACTATGTTTTTTGCTCCGCTCTTGCGCACTCACTATGCTTGGTGTGGAATGGAGGTGCATTCCAGCTGGGCGATGGGCGATGCCCCCTAAACTCTGAACCCTTAACAGGTGTAAGGAACTCGACAACGATCCACAAACACCTGCTGCACCAAGACTTGAACCTGTAGCCATGGCCTGGACATGGAGGAACAGCGGTGTTTGGAAGATGGGTGTGTCTCGACATATCACATTCATCACAATGACAGCAATCATCGTAGTGATAAGATATCACCATGTCGACTGTTTGCTACTCTCGATCCATGCTATATTTTCTTTTCGAACTCTTACTTGTTCAAGCTGCTGCATAACACCCTGCATGCACAACCAGCCTTTCATGATGAGGAGCACTGCCAAAGCCAGTAAGAGCCCTCAGAGCAACCATGCTGAGCGGCGTTGTCATAGACATCACAGCGCTTGGTGAGGGAATCAAAGTCTCCAGCGAGGTCGCCTTCGTTTATCTTTCTGTTCTAGCGTCTAGAGTCTAGAGGAAGCTACTGCAACTGTAAGCCAACTTTCCTGCAACTCGCAAATGCTTATGTGAGTTTTGAACGAATCAGAATCTCACTGCTGTGTCCAGACACCGACAATCGTCCGGGCTAGCGTTCTCTGCAGCGCACATTGAGCATGCAGTGCTGGATGCTAGGATGAGACTCTTGGTCCTGATCATGACCTGATCGCTCTGCCAAGCCGCAATTCGCACAATCACCGGCATACAGGGATTGCTGGTATGTCCGGATGAGTCCTGACACAAGATGGGGCGAGTTAGTCGAGATCTGCTCGGGGGCTTCTGAAAGGGCAAGAGAATGCGCAAAAGGTGTCCTAGCTGGCCTTTGGCTGCATTCTGAAAGAAATCGTCGACAATCCGCACGCAGCTGAGCTGGTCAGCACCTGCAGTCGAGATGGATGTCGACGATAAATTTCCGAAGGCCCTGCACAGACGCGAAGCAGCTTGGACTCCCACACGGTTTGCAGTTCTCGCACATATTCTCCGGTCGTGATGCCTTGCCGTCATAGGTGAAAGGCAAGGACTGGCAGCGACCCGGCAAGACAAGGGCAGCTCTTCTGCCTTTTTGTTGATGCCCTCAGTCGCCTCGTCCAGGTTCGAGGAGTGCCTTGGGGTGCCCACAGTGACCAGCTCAAAACCGCCCGGCACAAGAAAGCTGGCACCTCAGAGACGGGTCTGTGAAGGTATCTTCGCCGTAGCCCGCCGGGCGCAGCTTGGTGGCGAGGATCACACCCACTGCGAAAACGGCGAGGAATGCCTTGTTGATCAAGGACACGCTCATGCGCACTTGTTAATGTGCAGGCATGAAGGCTGCACGAATGAAGGATGCATGCATGCATCCCCGCCACCCCCCGCCCCTTCCCGTGCCATGGGCGTCGCATTTCGAAATTGACCTTGTTTGTGGTTTAGGGTTTCGATCTTCGTAAGCGTTGTCGTCTCTGCATCTTGACCACAGAGATCGTAGCTGTCAATGTCACGGGAGGGGGGGGCCAAAAACCCACCCACCGCCTGCCCGCCCGCCCACCCAACAAATCTGTTCAATCCCTGTATGGCTGGGCCCCTAATCCATTTCACACTGCAGGGAAGACACAGACCCCAACACGAACCCTAACCCCAAGCGGGAGGAGGAAACGAAGCCAGAACCACCCGCACAACGACAAAGCGGAGGCGAGGGGAGAGGCTCGCAGGGGAGCAGGGTCCAGGGCACTTGTGCTTCTCATGACAAGTGCTCTTGCTTGCGAGATCTTGCGAGTACAAAGAACCAACAATCAAAACACTGCCAAAGTGCCGGTGGCAGTATCTGCCAAGGAGCATAAATAACAAGAAGAGCTGTTCAAAAAGGTTTCTGCAAAGAAAACCCTCAGCACCGGGCCAAGAATGCAATCGCCGCCTTCGGAACTTGGACTGGGAAGCAGTGTTCCTGGTCATGGGGCCTTAGCAAAGCAAGCGACAGAGGGAGCCATCCGTCAGTACCCGCAGCCTGTGTGGCTTGGGGGCTTCGGGACCTGACCCGGAAAGCTCTAGACACAAACCAGCGGGCTGGCTTTTTGGCCCGAACCTTCGGCTTTGACTGAAAGAATCCAGGATGCGGTCTCGTTCCTGCGATTCTGAGGTCGCAGGGCTCCTGGCTTGAAGATGACTTGGGGCTCTCCGTGTTTTTTTGAGGTAAAGCCCGGCCTTTTCTTATGTGGCTTCGGGTGTAGATGAGAAAAGTCACAGTAGTAATCCCTGGAGCATCGAATGCCTGTCCTGCTCATGGACGGCCAGCAGAACTGCGTCCTCAAAACGGACAGAAGCTGGAGCGGACTCCTTTTTCCAATCAAAGCCCCGGCCTCGTCGTCCGCTGGTGGCGTGTGAAGAATCGTGCGAGGACCATGCATTTTGAGAGCCGGGTGTACAGGTGACACCTTGACTACCAAATTCAATCCTTTCCGACTGTCCTGCTCTCCAGTGCCATTGCCAGCTCCCCAGCTCCCTGTGTATAAAACAGGTCTGGCCTTTGTCTTTTCGAAAAATCCTCGCCTTCAGCGTCGGTTTTGCAGGCCTGTTACGAAGTCCAGCAATCTGTACCACGTGTCAGTTTCTGGCGACACGAACCCTTGATCAAGTCAGGAGCAGTGGCACACAGCTGTCAGCATCACACATCCGCTGCGGTGAGCTGCATGCATAGGATCGAGCCTCTGTAGTACACACCTTGAACATGCATTGGCCCATCTTGTCACTCACCTGCTCGGGTAGCTGTGGTGGCATCTCGAAGTTTACCTCCCCCCAAGCACACCCAACACAGATCATCTGAGAGGTGCTCTACGGCTGTCCAAGGTCCTGCGGAGCGAAAGCTCGGCGAATTTTGGTGCAGGTCTGGGGTGCTATCAGTACCAGCCATGGCAAAAGCACGTCCTTCTTTCAGCATGCGAGGCACGGTAACGGCACATCGGCTGTTCCGTGGGACCTCGGCGCATGAATCCGTGACCTTCTGCCACTTCTACCTCCTGAACCTCCTTCGACAACCCTGTCAGTCCAAGCCGCCATGAGCTCGTGACACAGCCACTTCCCATCACACCTGGAGCTGGCACTGGCGCACTGGGCGCACTGGGGCATGTCGGGACGTCTCCGTCACCGAAGATTCGGTCCGAACCGGAAAGGAAACGAGGCGCCGACTCCGCCTCCCCCTGGACGCACCTCGCAGAGAAGAGAACAAAAGAAGGAGAGCGGAGAGCGGAGTGCGGAGAGCGGGGAGCGGAGAGCGGAGCGCAGCGGAGCTTCTCTGAGAGACTCCAGGGTCAGGGCCAGGCATCCACGGCTGACGGAGTGCCCATCGGCTCCTTCTGCTCGCGGTTTGTCAAGGCCACGGTACACCTCGACAGGACATGACAGGACCACAAGGCCTTGCAAAAACCTGTAGCAGGTGTGATCATGTTGGAACCGAAAAGGCCACAGCTGTTTGTAATGGTCTCAGGTGCCGCTGCTACCGGCGCCAATGGGGGCCGCGAGCAAAAGCCAACCGAAGACTGTCATCAACTCTTTCTGAACTCTAAATGAAACCTAAACCCAAACGTCAGGGCCTTGCCCACAGCATCACCAAAGTGAACAGCGCCAAAAACATGGGAACGGAAACCATCGAGTCCATCAGGACCTGGCATCAGCAACTCAGGTCTAGGGCCTGGCATTGCTGTTAATTTTAGAGGTTGGGGTTTGGGTTGGTTTAGTTGGTTTGGCTGATCGTTCTGTTACCGCCGAATTCCGGTATGATAGGACGAAAGGCACGGCTGCTGTATCCACTTGTCATCTCACATGACCCTACCTACAAAACCCCTGTGCAGGAAGCGGCCTCCTGAAGTTCTGACTCTTCCAACGCTCGTCTCCCATGGAACCCACTATCAAAAGCCTTTGGATGGAGGCATGCGATGCCAGATTGGAAAAGTTGACGCTCGAAGTTTTTTCAAGTTTGGCCGCTGACCCTGGGCACACACGTGGTGGAAAACGTGAACTCAGGCCTTGTGCAAATGTCTTGGCAGGGCATCTGCCCGCTCGATGCCCTCCTGCATGAAGGACACTCCAGCAACCTGCGGCAGAGTTGCGATGGCGACCATGACTGCTAAATGTCTGTAGCACTTTTACAAACGGTGATTCAAGAGGCTCTGCTACCTTCGAACTTAGAAGCGTCTAGATAAGTGCGCACATCCAGAGGACAGGACCTCTTGTCTGAATGCTTGAGCGGGCCGAAAACATCCCGAAACCCTGACACCCTAAATAGCAGGGCCTCCTTGGCCAAGTCGGCACCCAGTGCTTGCGGCGAGAAAGATGATGCGCTCTGTTCCCAAGTCTCCGCAGGTTCGAGCTCCTGCTCTCAGACATCTAAAGCAAATCCGATGTCCAGCGATAGTGAAAACGGTACAGGGTGGTTAACCGCTAGTCCTGATGCAATGCGAATCTGCGAACTGTGACGAACTGCCTCGCTTCCGGAAACTTGGCCGTATTGTGGGCTGAGGCGACCCTCGTGTCCTCAGCACAGAGGCCCTGTTCTTCACTTCTTTCGTTGCACTCCAGCGCCGCCGGTAGCTCCTGCACCACCAAACAGGACATACCAAAGCCCTCCAGTTCGGGTTGCACTCGGCTGGCACTCGGTACAAACCTGGGAGCATCTTTTTGGTCCGCATCCTGCCAGCTGCTTGCAGCTGTTCGCCTACGCGTCTCTGCGATTTCGGCGCATTTGCTTGGGGCTGTCTTCGATCCAAGCTCACAAATATCAAGCGCGCGTCATTGAAATCGCCTTCTTGATCGTCAGCATTGCCTCCTCAGAAACAGGAGCTAGAACTAGGGAGAATCACTGAAACAAACTTAAGTGTTTCAGTCAGCAGCTCTTTGCCGAGAGTCGATGTCGAACTTTCCACCTTCACCTTCCTCTTTCACCTGGCAACACCGGAGGCATGCCCACTCTGTGCCACTGACAGGACTCACAGAAACGGCCATACTAATGCGGCCTTCTGGAGAAGCGAGGAAGAGGTCGGGGACAGGCTGGGGATGCAAGCCCTACACTGACCTGCTCTTCGCAAGCACCCCTAAACAGGCACCAATATACCTCTGAAGCCCTGGTGGGGAAGGCCAAGCCCAAGGACCCTCGGCCGTGCCTTTGCTGTAGCCGAGGCCAAGCCATACAGCATCGCCTCCTCTCGACTCGAACTACCCGAATGTCGTGAATTGCACTGGTAAGAAACTGTTCGAGGCTGTCTGTGCTGCCATGGAAACCTTCCCGTTTAAAGCGCAGGATAGCTCAAACGCAAAGGCTGCTTGAATTTCTCGCCCATTTCGGAACTCCGACACTGCCGCAGCAGCCTGCGAAGCTCATTCAGTCAATTTGGGTGTAAAGGTGGCAAAGGTGAAAGATGGTGAAAGGGTGCTTAGCAGACTTTAGAAGTAATAATCTCGAAAGCCGTGCATTCGTGGCAGTTCCGAAGCTTCTCTGGCATTTTCCCACAACAATACCAAGGAGACCAAATAGGAGGCCGAGCCAGTATGAACCAACTCGGATAGCCTAGCCATGATAGGGCGTGTGGATGTCGAAGAGACGGGGGAAAGGCCACCGACAGGCTCCTCGAAGTCCTGGGCAAGTCCTGAGCACCAGGAAGCCATCAGCACCCCGGCCACCGTGTCTCCAGCACCAATCGGGTTCAGACCTCGGCAACCACCGAGGCGCGCCGAAAGCGAAGCCTGAGCCCGAACCGCCAGCCCTCGTCCCGATCCCTCAAACAGCCTTGGGCGGAGACCTGAACCAACAAATAGAACAAGGCCGAAGACTCAGATCTCCCGAACCGTTTTGCAGAAAGGCCGCAGTCAACTTTGGGAATGTCGTAGCGCACCGCCGAATCTCGTGAGAAGAGAAATGCGGCCTGGGGACCAGCCTTGCTCAGGGCATCTTGATGCAAGAAACTGTAGGTAGCCTGCGGTTGAGGTGCTGTTGCTGGCGCGAGTGGTGCTGATGCTGGTCGTGGTGCGGGGGCAGTAGCGACGGTGGCAGTGATGCTGATAGTGTGGATGCGCTTGCGTGCTGCGATGACCACAGCCATGATGATACTGACAACAATCAGCACAATGGCGACACCCATGCCGAAGCCGCCAACAACCACCAGAAAAAAATAAAAAAAAAAAAAACATGTGATTATTCGCAAATGTCAGCATAATTCAGCATAGATATGATCACAAGGAGGGGAATCTTGCTCGGTTCCTGACCTACGATGACAGGGATGATGACAGGTAATGATCTCTTGGGTTTCCGCGTTGAGGGACATCAGTCGTCGCAGGGTATGAGGAAGTATCGCCCCTACCCCACACCACGTGCCCAACAGTATGGTAGCGTTTTATCGGTGGTGGGCACTGCGGTATCTCTTGTCAGCCAGCTGAAGGCCAGGAACAGTGATGGCCGCATGCTTCACTCCAGGATACTTGTCAAACCTCACCGCAGTCACGCATGTCCATGCCTCACACATTCGACGCATGCCTGCATAACACTAATCCTGAGCTTAGAAGCATTTTGGACACTGCTTCTCGAACTTGATGTTCCCCGACCTCTCCTTCTCGGAGGCCTTGCGCACCCATCAAGGTACATAGCTCCACGGCATTGACCTGACACTCGAACCCCGTCTGAGGAAGAAATGCGATCATGGATGTCGGGGAGGTCTGATCTCAATCCAGCTTGCTTACAAGAACCAAAGAGGAGTTCTGCACGATCAAAATCACCCTATCAAGCCCGAAGAATGAACTGAAGAAGTCAGAACGAGGAAGCACAAGACGCAGCCTGTTTTCTGTGGAAATTCTGTCAGCTTCCGCGCTCAGATTCTCTGTACATTTCCGTTTTGGGGGTGCGGCCCTCTTTTTAGGGTGTATAGGACTTGCATACATTCGCTGACTCCCTGAGTTTTGACCAAAAGCTTCTGCGGGTCGGCCATCGGCCATTCTACGTACCGTGAGTAAATGAACGGAAGGTTGGGCGACATCTCACTCGACTTCCTGTGTGAGGTTTCTCAGAATAAGCGGCAAAGGCTTTCCGTTTTAAAAACAAGCTTAGGAACTGGGCTGAGACTGAAGCGGTGGAGCTTGGTTGGATTCGGTGGTTGGTAAGGTCAGAGCTGGTCGACCAATGAACAAAATGGGATGAACACTTACCTCAGCGAGCCTTGTAGATGTCGATGTTCCCGCTCCCTAGGAGATCTTCAATGTCCTGGAAAGCAAACGACACGTTTTTTGCAGGCCCGTGCCTGGCAAGCCCCGGAGTTCCGCTGTGATAAGGACTAGTACGTTGGCCTCGGCCTTGGCCCTTCAAACAGAAGGTTCATTGAGTGCTGACCAGACTTTGCCGTCCTAGAACGAACCATGCCTCTTTCCCCTTTGACACTTGTAATTGTGCCTCTGCTGAACGCACCAGGCAAACTTCCAAAACCCTGAACCTCTGCAAATTGAAAATCTACACCCTAGATCCTGCATACCCCAAAACCTTGTGCCTCAAACCGCTTGAAGCCTAAGCCGCCGAACCCTGCAGTATGCAAAGCCCATCAAAGTCCGACATCTGTCAAACTCCTGGATCATCCTAAACCCCAGATTTGCTACAAGTACCAAAAACCCCTACACCCCTTACGCACCTAGTGCCTCTGCGGGCCTGCACTGGCTTCACGGCATCCAGAACGCACAGGTCCCATTCCTAAGTCTTGCCAATCAACCACTCCATCGATGCATCAGCAAGCAAATCACCACGATCAACGAAGGTTTCGGAACTACTGTGATGATAATGGTGACGATGATGACGATGATGGTAACGATGACCATGGCGAAGGAAACAAAAAGAAAGAAGACCGTAGCACTCCACAATGCCAAGTAGAAATGCCCTGAGTACCTAGTACGGGCCTCTCTCGGAGCCTCGGAGGGTTGAAGAACGTTGTGCTATGAGATTCAGGGATCTCCGGCGCCGGGCCCAGAGGAGGAGCATGCTTCTCAGGTGTATGCCCCACTTTCCTCAAAGCACAGCTCGGGCATCCGAACACCAGAATCACTAGAAAGAGAAGTGGCATGCCGACAGAAATCCCAGCGCGGCTTCAGCGCCTGAGTTCTCACGGTGCGACGAGAGGCGGCCAGGTGCCCATCAGCAGGATGCCCCTGAAGCTCGAAGCGGCATCCTAGGCGACAAGAGTTGAGGGATTCAGACCACGTCGACTGTGCTTCGAGCAGTCCCCGGACGTCTTTAAGACCTCATGTCTTGGGCGTTGATTGAAGCAAGTCGGCAAGGTCACTCTACTGTAGGTTGTTCTGATTGAGGAGTAGGCTGTCTGGGCCTCAAGGTTAAAAGCATGCAGCATCCCCCGTCTTTTGCATACCAGATGCGGTGATTCTGGCCAACAGCTCTTGTGCAGCGGCCTCCTCAATCGGTTGTGACGGAGCGACGAGCTCGGTGACCACGGGGTTGCCACCGGAGGCAGCGTAGTCGACCAGAGTGACCAGTTGCCTCGTTGCCGCGCCTGTCTGGGTAGTAATGTCGTGTATACCTTGCTGGGACAGCAGGCGCTTGACCTCTTCGCCCGTGCTCCCACCAAGAAACTGGCAAATAGTCACCGGGCATGAGCTCTCCTGCTGCAGCCTCAGAAAAACCTTGGCAGCTTTGGCGGCATTCTGACCCTTGCCGCCGACTCCAGTAATAGCAGCCTCTGCCCGGTTCACCTCAGGGGACATGGGGGGATGCGTGCTCAGAAAAACACCCTCCCATTGCTCATCATCTCCCCACATCCCTCCTGGCCCAGGTCCAGGTCACGCAAGCGGAGGATGGTCTGCAAGCCCGGGTTGAGGCCAAGCACGAGGAGCCCGGCAGGAGAAGGGGGCTTGCTCATGGCCGGCGCCGGAATGCGAAGCCACAACCACGTGGCAAGAGCCAGGCCCAGAAAGAGGCGAGAGAGCTTCGCTTGACATCGACAACGAAAACTCAAAGGCCCCATCCTCTTTGAGCCCAGACCAGAGGTCAAAAGCGATCTTTCAAGGCTTCGAAAAGAAGCGGGTGGGCTCTGAGTGCTCCGATTGGTCCTTGAGCTGCCCTAAGGCCTGAATCTCTTTCTCGGCCAGGGCCTGGCAGGCCTTTGCTGCCAAGAGCCTTCAGGCAAGTGTAAACATACACACAGATATGGACATGACTTATACATGTGTATGTATGCATGTATGTATGTATGTATGTATTTATGTATGTATATGTATATGTATATGTATGTGTATGTGTATGTGTATGTGTATGTGTATGTGTATGT